CTCTCTCTCTCTCTCTCTCTCTCTCTCTGTGCCCTTCCCCTGCTCATGCTCTCTCAAAATAAATAAACTTAAAAAAAAAACCTAAACCTCAGAACCACCAGAAACAAAACGAATACAGGTCAAGAGCCACCTGCAAAGCCAATAACAAGGTGTCACTCCTTCGGACTCCTGCACGTGGGTCTTATTAGAGTCCTCGTCTTCCTGTTTCTACAATATACTATTTGCCACTAACAGCAGCCGTGAAGTCACCCAAATAAACTAGCATTTTTAATGGCTTCCAGATTAGGTTCTTTGTCAGATATTAACCATTTCTGGCGCTTCACAAAGACACCACTATGTTCTTCCTCAGCATGATGAATCAAAGGAACTGAGTATTTTCACACGCAAAATAAACTTTCAAGGTTTGGATACAACAATTTGACTTCAAGAGCCCCTGAAAATAAAATCTGTTGCTTTAGAGCTGTGCCATCCAGACATTCTTGTGATGGTGGAAACATGCCGTATCTGCACCACCCATGGCCACACATGGTGGCCAAACACCTGGAATATGGCTAGTCTGATGGCAAAACCAGATTTTAAGTCTTACTTCATCCGAATGATTATTAGTTCTATGTGGCAAATGGCTACTATTCGGACAGCATAGCTTTAGACAACAAAAGCTAGAATCTTTGAAATAAAATACGATCGATTACCTTCTCGAATGCAAATGGACATTTATGTGCAGCACAAGTAAAATGGTCTTTATGGAAATCTTGTTTACACGCATCGCATTGTAACGGAAGAAAATCTAAAAACAAATAAAAAACAAACACCAAAAAAACAATGAAGTGTTCTAGAGATTAGGATGAAAAAATTATAGATTACGTTAAACAGGGATTTACGTACGGTCAGTTCTTTATGCCTATCAAATACATCTTTGAAGTACCACAGGTGAGAAAAAAATTGGGGACCATGACTTTCACAATGACAGCGGTTCTGAAGAACCTAACCTGTGAAGCTGTCTTTTCAAAAGAACCCCATCCCGTGTAGTCCCACAAATATTTAAGCAGCACACCTGTATCCACCTGGCCTTGGCCCTGGTTCCTGGCCTTCAGAAGAGGCTACGTAGCAACGGTGACCAGAACCTGGACCTCAGGCCGGCCTCCCGACACTGAAGAGCTAATTAGAAAAACGGCCAGGGGCGCCTAGTGGCTCAGTCGGTTGAGTGTGGCCAGATTTTCAGTCACCAGCGTTCCTTAACTTCCAGCTGATGAAAATGAACAGACTTGCTCTGTAGGAAGCCTTCGGTGTGCAAGTGACCCCCGGCCCCTGCAGGGGACTAAAGCGTCACAAATTCTTGCCGAGACACGAGGCGTTTCGGTACAAGCACTGGCTCATTCAGAATCACCCCTGTCGTGAGAGCGATGGCTTCTTGGTCCTTCAAATCCCTACTCGAGAAAGCTCCCCCCGAATTCAGGTGTGCATTAAACCACTTGGACTCGCAGCGACAGGCGTTTCCCATATTCGATTCCCACAACTGCCCGCAACGAGTTGGGGCACAGTTTCATCCGCTGAGTATACTTGTTGACGTAAGCCAAGTGTCGCCGGGTGCTAAGTCCCAATAGCTCGTGCCGCTACCCCGGAGAGACTCAGCGCTGCCCCTGCTGAGCCCCTCAACTCCCTCCCGCGGAGAGATGACTCAGGACCGGCTCCCCGACGACAGCAACCCGGGGGTAATGAGGGAGGAGGACAAGCCGTTCACCCCCGGTGGAAAACGGGCCGACAAGCGAAGCTACCGCCCCGGAGGGGAAACTTCGGTCCGCACCGCGCCTCCCGAGGCCCCTTGCACCGCCCGGCCCCCGCAGAAGCAGGGTCCCCCAGGGGCTTTTCCGCACCTCCCCGTCGGCCCCCTCCCTGCCGGGGCGGGGCCGCCGCGCGGTGCCTGGCCCGCGCGGGCCCGTCCCCTTCCCCACGCCCCCGGAGCGGGAACGCGGCAGCCCCTGCCCCGGCGCGGGCCCACTCCCGGCAGCTCGGCGGCACGGGAAACCCTTCCCCGGGGGATGCCCCCGGCCCGGCGCCGCACCTGGCTCTCCATCGGGACCCGGGCGGCCGCGGAGGCGACCGGAAGGCGGCGCAGACGGGAAGCCGGCTCCCCCCTTCCGACAGTCAGCCGCGGGGGACGAGACCAAAGGGGAGGCTGAGGAAAAGGGGCTCCGGGGCGCGGCAGGGAGCCGACCGGCCCGCGGGAGAGCGAGGCGTCTCGCGGCGCCAGCGCCCCCGCCATTCATCCGCCGCCGCGGCTTCGGAGAGCGCCCGGCGCGCCCCGATGACGTCAGCGGCCGGCCCCTCCCGCCCCCGTCGGCCCGCCCACTCCTCGCTCCTCCTCCCCGCCCACTCCTCGCTCCTCCTCCCCCTTCTGGAACAGTCCTGCCGCTTCCCCCGCCCGCTCGGTCGCCGAGAGCCGGCCGCGCGCAGGCGCACTGGGCCGGCCGCGCGGCGCGGCGCGGGA